ATTAATATCAAAACTACGAAACGATGAAATACTTGCCTCATTCTTGGGCTTCAACTCAGGGCACCCGAACCCGGCATCGGAAACCTTCTTCGCCGCAATATCAACCAGCTGCTCGATCGAAACCCGCTTCGAGTTCTCCGCAATAGCCCCAATTGCCTTCGCCGCAGCAACCCTCGTATCCCAATTCCGACTCCTCAAACACTGCGACACCTTCCGCAACAACGGATTCAGCTCCTGAGGGTGCGACCTAGCGATGTCCCCGATTTGCCTCGCCGCTGCGAACCGAGTTTGCTGCGTCGACCCAGTATCGAGCAAGGTGAGGAGCCGATTGAGCCGCGAAGACGACTGCTGCTGCGGCTGAGGTTGAGGTTGCGGGACCTGCTGCGCCATGACATTACAGTCAAGAATAGGGAGAAATTGAGATTGAAATCGAAGCAATTGGTGGAGAAATTGAGAAGAGAAAACCCTAAAAAGGGGAAAAATCTAGGGTTTAAGGTGAAATTAGGGATCTGAAGGAAGAAAAAGTTAGCCGGAAAATGCGAAGGAGAATACATTGGAGAGTATATATAGAGAGATAGAGGAGAGGGTTTGAAGGAAGAAGAGAGCTTTGAATCCTCATTTTCTGTTGGCATTTGACAATTTACGAAATACTAACGCCCAAATAAGGCTACCCCACTTAAAAATTAAAATTAAATTAAATTAATTTTGTGTTATGGATAATTGGAATTTTTTTTTATTAATATAAAATTGGGGCTTGGGCTAACTACATGTTTGTGGTATTATTTGGTTATTATGAGGTCCATTTGATTTTGGGTTTTGGGACTATGATTGAAAAGTCATGATCCAATAGAAAAGTGTCTTGTGGTGTATTGATTTGGATTATTTATTTGTGGTTAGATAGCCGTAGTGGTGGTTGATGTGAATCGATTTCATTATTTCAAGATGAAGGAAAGCTCTAACTACTTAAATTATCCCTCATTTTCTGATTGAATTTTTTTTTTCTACATATTGATATGATGATAATATGTGTTTAAATTTAATTTTGATCAATAGATGACAAATGAGTTGGTTAAATTGACAACGAGTAAAGTTCATTTAGATTGGGTTGTATTGAATCCTAGTAGGAAATTTTTCGGTTCATGTGTTGGGTCGAGTTGGGCCAATTTGGGATAGGTTACAACAGGTATAGAGTAGGAAAATCGATTAATTCAAGTTGGGTTAATTTATAATTAGTAAATCACTTAGTTAATTTTCACATGAGAGATGGGATTAGGGGTGTGTGAAGGCGAGAATGACAATGAGATAAATCAGGTTTAATTTTTTGTTATCGTACTTTGATTTGGTTTGCCTTACTATTACTAAACTAGGGTGTCGTTCATTCACTTGGTTTTATTTTTAGGTTGAGTATCTTGATTTGGGTTGCTTTCGTATTACTAAGCTGAGGTTTAGTTAAAAATCAGCCTAGAAATGCTACTGATTCAAATTCTTGCGTAGTTAACAGAGAATTCCATTCACTTGGAATAGGTGAAAAGTTTGAGATGAGTCTTTTAGCCATCCAGAGCTTATAAAATCAAGTTGTACTTGTGGCTCAAATGGTAAGCAACTTAATGTCGCTTAAAGGAGGTCTCGGGTTTCAGTCTCATCGTATGCAATAACTCTGACTCACCTACCTTAAGCCAAGTGTGAGACCCGAGTCGGAGCTAAGTTACGGTGAACCGGGTGGGCATTCTTACAAAAAAAAAAAAAAAAAATAGTCATATACCCTACTAGTTATAAGAGCACTCTCACTCATGGTCAAAAATATGCCCATGAGGAGAAATTCAAGGTAAAAAACCAAAAACATGTATCCCACTCATGGGCAAAAAAATAAATGCCCATGAGAAAAATCAGAAATGCCCAAGGTCATGGCATTTTTGTAATGTTACAGTAACTTATGTAGCCCACTAATTAAATCTAAAAATAGCTATTTTGACCAATTTAACGTATTTAAAAACAAAAATAAAAATTATCAATGTTCATAATTTATTTTTATCTATAAGTAGACACCCATTTTGTTATATTTTTGTGCACTTCGAAAAATCACAATTTTCTACTTAATTCGTTATTATTAAAAAATTTACTTTTGTTGAGGGTTTATTTTAGCCCATGAGTGTGTGAGGACTTGTTTTTAAAAAACGCCCATGGAAAAAAGTGGAAAAGAGGAGTGAGAAAGTGGGTAGAGAGAGAATGACATTTTATTTTTTTGACCATGAGTGAGAGTGGTCTAATAGTCATGTATCTTAACTTGTACTTTGTATAGTTTAGGATAGTTTTGTTATCAGTCCAACTGATACGGAGTAAAATCTTATTAGCACACTAGGATATGATATGTAGAGTGGAACTGCAAACTGGTATCGAGCCTTTATGAATAACACGTATACTACCTCCGTTAAATATTATGTGCAACTTTAGAATATTTTATATCTCACAAATAATACCCTAAAGTTGCACATAACATTTAAAAGAGGTACTCCATAGTAGTTAATACGGAGTATTTTTTTTAAAAGGTAAGAAAAATAACATTAGGAAACATTCCTCACACGGAAAAGTATAGTTATTTGGTACATCTCCTTCTCACATACTCCGTGGTCGCATACAAGTATACAGATAACACTAATGCTGAAAACACTGCCCTTGGATAAATACAATGCAACAAGCAGTAGGCCTTTAGCTCTAGAATATGACAACTACGCAAGTAATCAATAAAACTTGTCTTGATAGTTGATATACTTTGCAAGCACTGTAGTTGTCAACGGTCTATATAGCTGGCTGAACTGGGCTTTACTCCAAATATTTTTGTCTAAACCTTATAAACATTGGGCTTTGTTCAAAGATTTTGGCCCAAACTAACAAAAAAAAAATTCCCAAATTGGGCTAATGAGAATATGAGATCATTTGTTGAGATCAACCCAAAATTTTTAATTAAATACCAAAAACATATTTTATCATAAAATATGTTATAGAGTATTAAATAAGTATTTATTATAATACTCATATAATTTTTATTAATATTTATATAAAAATAAAGTTTTGTTACATTGAAATTTGTACAAAGCTTGATTGTGTAAGAATTTATCACCTTAATGTATAATTTCCAAATTAACTTTATACTTGGTTTTGATAAAAAAAAAATATAAAAAAAAAAACATTATTGATTTATATAATAGTACTAGTTTTGTGTCCCGTGCGATGCCCTGGTTGTTTATTAAATTTTGAGATAAATTTTAAATCTATATTCAAATTTTAAAATATATTTCAATATAAAATTACTTAGGAATTGATGTACTTTTGTAACGATTTAAATTATATATGTAGTAGGCATGTAAACACTAATAATAATAATAATAATAATATTGGTATTTTTTTAGAGTTATAATTTAATATTTTTTTTGAATAAAATCATAATTCAATTTATACATATGAAATAGAGTTATAATCTAATTTTTTTTTTAATAAACTTATAAAATTCAATTTATACCTATGAAATATTGGCATTTTATCGAAAATAAAATACTCAATTAACAATTTTATTCTAAAATTCTATCCAAATTTGATTGAAAATAGAAATCTAAACTAATTAATTTATCTTATGAAGTCTATCTAACGTGGCGCGACACTTGGCAAAAGGTTGGAATTCCAAGTGTCGATGCCTCGTGGTTTGCCTAAAAGTTTATCTTTATATTAGTTATATGATATGATATAATGATTTCGCGTTCACAAATATATTCCATATCACTTAAATATAACACAAAGTTTCATATGTAGCTGCTTAGATAGTGTACCCGAAGTTACTCAGTCGGTTAGGTTAACTGGTCAAAAGTTTCTCGGTCAGTCAAGGATTATTTGGTTAGGGGTTACTTAGCTCAGTTGGTCAAGGGTTACTTGGTTAATACTCTGTCGGTCAAGAATTACTCGATCAGTTAGAGATTACTTGATCGGGTTACTTAGCTCGATCGATCAAGTTTTACTCAGTCGAATCAGAGATTACTAAATTAGAAGTTATCCGATTATTATTTTGATATGTGTCAATCGACTACACGATGTGATCAGCCAAACAGAAAACACACTATAAATTGAAACACTTAAAGCCTAGAGTACTTTTGAGTTTTGAGGGGACACTATCCGTGAGCTGTTTTAATGATTTACTGCACCACGTATTTCATGTGGTGGACTGGTAGTGCTCCTGCTTGGTGGAGCCACCTCAATTTAATTGATTGTAGTCGGTGGAAATGGTTGTAGGGTAGCGATGTAGGGTTTTCTCTCTTTTTTTTCTAGTTTGGGAATCCTTTCATTACTCTATTATTTTTGAGAACATGGTAGATTCTCCTTCTAATTTTTTTTTGAGACATTCTCCTTCTAATTTAAACAGTACTTGTATAGAGTAATTTATTTCATTTGTCATTTGTTTGATTAAAGATATGTACTACATGAAACGCTTAAATAAATTTTATACTCCATGTGTTTATTGTTCTTTTGAAAGTTCAACGAACTCACGTATTGTTGTAAATTCTCGTATAAAATAAGAAAATTTTGAAAATAAATGGGTGTAAGAAAAAAGTATAGTATTCGAAAAAAGATAAGTTAAGGTGAAAAATGTGGATAAAGTATAAAAGAATTAGTAAAAAGGTGCAAATTGATAGAGAATATCAATAGAATATTCTCATCTTAGGTTTAGAATGTACATATCTTATGTTATATAATATGGAGTTTACATTATTTGACATGGTATCAGAGCTCAGATGAGATCATTGGGATCATATACATAATTCTCACCCTGCCTAATCATATTAGATAACATAAGATATGTATATAATCTTATTCAAAATATATCCTAAACCTAAGATAAAAATAATCTATAGATATTCTCTATCACACACTACTAATTTTGACACAAATAATAAGGTCATTGGTAAATACAAACTATCAAGTTGAATTTAATTATCAATAAGATGGAATAATGCTTAATTCAAATACTATGTATGAACAAACAAGAAAAATAAATTTATCATACAACTATGGACCACGTCCACCAAATGAAAATTTGTGTACAATTCTTTGTCATTATTATTATCCTACTAAAGACTTTTAGATTAAAGCTAGAAGATTCAAAATTTCTCCAAAATTAATTTTTTTCAATCCATTTTTTTTGCATGAAAATGAATCAAGAAATAACAATCAAATGCTCATAATTTCACCCAACATTCTTCTTCAAAGCTGCTGCATTCGTCAATTCCTTGATAAATCTATCAACATTTTTCTCCGAAGACCCCTTTGTAACTTCTAATAGTCGCCTAATTTCCTTGACATTTTCATTGAGTTCAAATCCCATTAATCCACCAATTAAATCCTTAATTTTTTGTAACACTTCCTCCCTTTTTACGGGCTTCTCCTCACATAGGTTACACCCAATTTTCCAATCATCCACAATTAGTTTACGATTGGTAAATTGATCGGTCAATAACGGAAAACACAATAATGGAACTTCACACCATATACTTTCTAACGTCGAATTCCATCCACCATGTGTTAAGAACCCTCCTACTGAACGATGAGCTAACACGGCCTTTTGACAAGTCCACGTAACAATTAATCCTCGATCACGTACCTCATCCCTAAACCCAACCGGAAGTGGGTCCGGGACATCCGAACTAACCATATCGGGTCGGATAACCCAAAGGAAGTTGACCCCACTAAGTTTAATTCCATTAGCTATTTCCTCTAGCTCTTCCTTATTAATATGTGCATAGCTACCAAATGAAACGTACAATACCGAGCCAGGAGGTTTAGAGTCTAACCAAAGTGTGCAATCGGACTCGGCCCATAGGCTAGTGGCTACCGGACTTTTAGTAAACCCGGGTGCAAATAGAGGTCCGATAGCATAAAATGGGACTTGTGGTTGGATGGCCGAAATGGTTTGGACCTCTAGCTCTTGGACCGTGTTACCAAGTATAAAATGAGCCTTTCTAGTGTCGTCCAATGATGCTAAATTGTATTGTGGATGAAAGGTCGTCAAATCCTCTTCTTGTAGATATGATGTTAAATCCGTCCTTTTGAGTGAGCTTATTCCCGGCATATAGGTTATTGTATCCGTACGTGAACTTGAACCTAATTGAAAAAGTAACTTAATTAGGTTAACAATTACGGTCAATTAGAGTATAAATAGAGTACATTCTATATTTCCTACTTACTCCGTTCTACGAAGTATTAATATTGCAACAAGGAGGAAATTACGCGTCCTTATGCACATTTTATATGCTAAATACCTATAATTGTGTATGAGTAAAAATTATAAAAAGTTGATATTGTGAAAGTATTTTATGAGACGAATCCAACAAGATCTCACATGACTATATTTTGCTTAACGTATAAATCATATTATATGGTCAAACAAGAGTGATAAATAGTGCAAAAAGTTCATTGTTGCAATATTAACAGAACGGAGGAATTATATATCTATCTCGTGTATAAACATGAGTCACTTTAATAATAGAAAGAAAAGGTGAAAGTAAAAGGAAAAAGAAGAGTGCCACTATATAGTATATACATATATACACGTAATATAAGGGTTTTTTTTTTGTTCATTCTTATCTTTAACACAATGTAATTATGTAGTATGGAGTATTTGTATGATTCCCCAACCCTTCAAAAAAAAAAAGAGTTTTCATATATTTTAGGGCATGTTCTATTCAGATTATTTTCAGTTCAGTTCCAATAAGTATAATTCATTTCAGTTCTTAATAACCTTCTCTCATAAAATATTCAGTTTTGTTCAGCTCCAATAAATTCAATTCAGCTTAGTCAGAACATGCACTTAGATTGCTGAAATTTCAATGTCATTATTGAGGAATATGCTCTTTTCTTCATGGAATAAACCTCCTTTTCACAAAATTTCTTTTCGGTCAAAGAAAATGCCATGTTTGGAAAATGTTCTATTTTCATCCGGCAATTTAATGCTAATTGCATTTTTAATGACCTCTAATTTCAAATTTAATTTAATCTCATCTCATAAATCCATAGATTCCCTAATTTAGTATTCCAAGTTAAATGGACTAGACTACTAGTACAACATTAAATGGACAATCCACCAAATTTAGAATCTTGTACAAACATTATGCATCATTCACAATTCACTAGGTAGTCGGTCATATTCAAGTTCATTTATTGACTAGATGCATCTTTCACAAGGTAGGTAGGTAGGTAGGTAAGTGGATGGATGGTGAATCACTAGATCTATCTTCCTCAACTATCTTACTAATTCATTTTCATACAATATAATGCATTTTCGAATTAGCTTACGATTAAACGAAGGGTAATGAACTAATGATATACTCTGTACATACAAAGTATAAATTTCTTGATAAAAATTGATATCTATTCAGATATACATATTAAAATCAAGCGTCAATTATGTTTGATTTAATTTGATAATGATTCCATTTTGGATCTAATATGGAGTATAGTCTATCTAATCAAGTCCTTAATTAAAAAGAAAGGTAGATTACTTGTATAATCTGACATGGATAAATGCACAATTTACTTAATTTTCAAAGTTCAAATTGACCATTATGTGTTCATAAAAAAAATTCCTTTCTAAATGTCAATGTAACAACTAAATCCGAACAGAGTGAGAATGCAGTAAATAAGAGTAAAGAGAAATAGGAGATGTGAAAGAAAATTTACCAGGACCAATGTGGCCATTTTCCAAAAGCAAATGACGATTGAAGTAGATATCAAGCACCATAGCAGATTCAGTCCAAAAAGAAACATGAAACAAACCAAACTTATGAGCCAACTTAGACGCCCAAACAAAGTAACTATCAGCAATCAAGCAACAAATAGTAGAAGAAGGCGGTCGAGATTCCAAGATCTTGGTGACAGCCACTTCCAGATGAGCAGGGAAACAATGAGTAGTAGCCCCGACCCATTGGTCGTGGTGTAACGATCGATCAAACTCTAGAGGTAACCCGTCGGTAATGGTCATGTACTCGATGTCGAGGTCCGTAGGGCTCTGCCTACGGGCCTCGACAAAGATATCATCATAGGCGGTAGCGTTTGAGAGAGTGATCTTGTGGTGAATGTGGTTGGTATTGATGAATGTTACGGAGATGCCTTTGGATGCTAGCTTGATTGCTAGTTGTACAAATGGGTTTACATGGCCTTGTTGTGGAAGTGTTACTAGTATTGCATGAAGCTTTTTTGTGTGACCATTTGAATGTGAGTGCTCCATTTTTTTTTTTTTGGATGAACAAACTTTGTGAGAAATTTTTGCAGATATTTTTGGATGGAAAATTTCTTTAATTTTTGAATGAGTACGAGTTCAATTATGGACTATATATCTCAGCAATAATGGGCATGGGCCCATGGCCCCGCTTGTGTCTTTTGTCAACTTGTGTCCTCTGTTAATAATTTATTACGAGTATTTGTCATTTTTTTAAAAAAGTATTCCGTAAGATGAAAAACTCTATTAAATTGAAACCTCTCACAAGTTAAGTCAATTCAGCTTTACAGGTCAACATTTGATAGAAAACGATGATCAGGGTTAGGTAATTTCCCTACTATCAAGTAAATGTTATTGGTAGGTTTGGAATTATGAGTTCTCCTTTCAAGTTGACTAAACATGCTTAGTTTTTACAGAGTATTACTTTTCAAATTGATACTGCATAATAAATAAACCGACCATATATGTGAGACAGTTACAAATTATTTTGATAAAGAAAAGGGAAGGAAAAGAAGGGGAGGGAGGAGAAGAGGAGGGGAGGAAAGGGAGGGGAGAGTAAAAGGATGAGTTTTCCTTCCAAATCTCTCCATTGATAGAGGGATCAATTTCCTACAATTTAATCCTTCCATTTCCCTCCCCTCCAATTCTCTCCCTTCATCATTTTCTATACAAATGAAAGATACTCCATCTCTCCATTTTTCTTCCCTTCCTTTCCTTCAATCCAAACACACCGTTAGTGTAAAGTGAATTAACAGATAATTTCTCGTAGTCATTTACGGATAAAGAAAGGAGAAGGCAAAGAAAGGGAGGGAAGAGAAGAGGAGGGGAGGGAAGAATGGTGAGTTTTCCTTCCTAAACTCTCCATAGTTGGAGGGATCAATTTCCTACCAGTATAATTTAATCCCTCTATTTCTCTCCCCTCCAAATCTCCAATTTTCTTCTTTCCTCATTTTTTATCCAAAAAAAAGACACCTCATCTCTCCAATTCCCTTCCCTTCCTTTCCCTCAATTTCCTTCAATACAAACACACCGTTATGGAGTACAAATGTACAATACAACACAATTATAGTAATTTACAGTATAAGGCAAAAAAAAAAAAAAAAGGGGACGATTTTAAAGAGGGTAGAGAAATTTATTTATATTTTTTTGTATCAAATTAAAGTAGGAAACAACTTGACAGGGGACAATGGCCACCTTTTGCCCCAATTGAACTATGTTCACGTTTTAATCCAGAAAAAAAAAAGTTATTTGATGAAGCATTTCCACCTTTTCCTTAGTGGGTTTATATTTTTGTATAAAAATGTGTAATAATTATTGACTTTAAATTATTTGATTGCAACTACTCGAACAAGACAAATAAGAAAAAAGAAATAAATAGATAAAATTAACTTTAAAAATTACAAGATGACCAAAATAAATTATTCTAGACTTAAACTCAACCAAGTTGCACTTAATGTATTAAAAAAAAAGCAGCAATTAATTATTAGTTAATTGAACAAATTTAAGGTTAAAGTTGGATTTAGATTCATTTTTATCAATTTGTCACCACTTGGTCAATCTTTGGCAGAATATAATGAGTTTTTAATATATATATATTTTTGATCATTTTATTGGCTGGAAATAGTGAGCTAGATATTTTTAAACAATGCAAATACTCATTTTTAATGGAAGATCAGATGTGCATTCAGATCAGAGAAATTATTCTCCAACTAACATGGTAGGTGCCTAGGTAGTTACATAGACATGCATGTCAATTACTGTAATTGATTTTAAATTTAATTACAACATGTTAAAAAGGTCAGACTATGTACAACATGTTTAATAGGGTATCAATTTATAATCAATTCATAAATCGTTGGAGAAGTAGCCAATCATAATTATTGTTAATTTGTTATAATATTATTACTCTTATACTTTGTATTTACTAGCTCCGTAATTATCTTAATTCTATCCTATACTACAAAAAGAAAACAATTAATCTTAATTCATATGTGGTTTAGTATCTTACCACAAACCTCCCTTAGATAATGACAAATACGGCTTCTACTAGATAATATGAAATCTATGCCTCACATATAAATAATATTTTGAAATAAACAAACAACCACTAAGGATTTAATAAATGTAAGAAAATAAACTTTTTTTTAACTTAACCAACCTGAATAATATTTGAATTATTTATCAACATTTCAATTTTCAAGCTAAGCATTATATGATAACTTAGCATAATGCATGCTAAAAAAAGAATGGTGGAAATTATTTAACTAAACAAACAACGTTACATGTTGTTTGCAAAAATGTACACCTTCCATCACCCATTTTCCTCTCCTATAAAGTCTCTCTTTCTTTTACATCAATTTATATATTCTTTTCTTTCAAAAAAAAAAATAAAATAAAATAATCTATTCTTTATTTAGAAAAACAAATGATATGGTGGTTAATTATAGCCATATATTCCCACAATAATGTCATGCTCATGCACTCATGCTAGGGAAATTGTCAAATTAGTGTTTTATTGGGGTTAATATGTCTTATAATCATCTCTTTACTAGTCTTGAATTTTTTTATTTTTTGAATATAAGAAAAAAATTTACTCTACTCCATCAAACCCATATTAGTTGTTAGTTTTGTGAAAGAAGAAAGATAATTAAGGGCATGTTCGGCAAAATATAGCTGTGAAGGTAGCTGTAGCTGTAGAGATAGCTGTGAGCTGTGGAGATAGCTGTTAGCTGTGAAAAAAGATAATTTAGGCATGATTGTTCGGTAAAGTAGTGGTTGACTAGCTGTTACATTTAAAAATCAATATTTTATTTTTAAAACTATACATTAAATTTTCAAAAGCTACTTCAAAAGCTACCTCTAATTTCAAAAGCTAATAATCCTAACTTTTAATAAAAGCTACCTCCACCACTGAAAGCTACTTGAACCATTATTTTGCCAAACACTCACATTTTTTGTTGAGTAGTGGTTTGACTTGGTCAAACCACTAAAAGCTACCTAAAAGCTACTCAAAAGCTAGCGTCGAACAAGCCCTAAGAAAGCATAATTTATTACGATGTTCCCCTATTCCCATCATTTATATTACTATCGCCTTTATATACTGTCCATAGTGTCCAACAGTCATATAGCAATACATATAATTTACCACACTATAGGTTACATCCTCATCCCTGAACTTAAAAAAGTTGCTCCATTTCCTCTAACCCAATACGATTATTAATAAATCAAACCCTTTTTAATCTCTTTTTATATCGACATTTAATCAAGTAAACTCCACTATATGTAGAATTGGAGCTTCTTATAAGCTTATTTACTTTCCAAGTGCTATAGTGTAGTTTGGAATTTGTTACGGAGCTACCCACTAAAGTTGCCTAGCTAGCTTGGTTGTTTTGTTGTTACACTGTTAAGCTTTTGGATCTTGTCTCAAACTTTGGGCTTGGGGGCTTAGCTTTTGATGATTGACTTATTTTTAAACTGAAATTTGAGATTGAATGTTTAAAATATACTCCTTCTATTCTCAAATAAATGTCCCATTTGTGTTACTGGGATTTGATGATTGATATTAAAAAAGTTACTGGGATTTGATAACTAAAAATAAATATATATATATATATATTTTTGATAAACTACAAACAAATAAAATAAGGAAAATAGTGGGGTTTAGTTGAATAAAAGTGCATAAATAGAGGTAAAATAAAATTTTTATGCAAAGACAAGAGTTTTGAGTGAAATCCATTAACTAATATTTAAATAAAACGTTGCTCATATAATCAATCTCCCTCCCTATATTATGTGTTGCTTCCTAAATAAAAATTTTCCCGCCAATTTAATGTATGATGTCATTATTAATTATTTTTAATTATTATTTTTGTAAAAAAATCTACAATGTATGGATAAGCTCAATCATTTTTTTAAACTGATTTTATGGATAATATCAATTACTGATTTCTTCAAAATACTCATTTGATTATGCCCATTATGGAATAAACAAATTAAGAGAAAGAAAAGACCAGTAAAAATGTGTAATATCAATAAATGAAAAACATATAATCATGATTAAAGTTTATAAATTACATATTTCATATAATTTAAATTGGGAAAAAATTTCTTATTATCACTGTGCAACATGTACTAATCTAGTGAAACTTCTATTTGCAAATCTCTAATATATCAGTCAACAAGGGGGGAGACTGTGGTGTTGTTCACCTAAAAAGACATTAGTACCCTCTAGGTTATACTACAATATTAATAAGGCCAAAAAAATAATTTATCCCATCATCTTCTATTACAATTAATTAACTTTCTAAATCAAGTATTCCATAATTTTATAAATTTCCTATCATTGATTTCAACAAATCAATCACTCAATCTATTAAATAAAAATTTTCCTAGTTACAACAACATTGTATTATTCATTTATCAATCTTTTCATCTATCTACAAACAATAATTACCTAACTAATTTGGAATATTCCTATAAACCTAATTATTCCACTTTTTTATGTATAAAAATACCCACCTTCTCTTCTACTATGTACAAGTATAAGAGTCTGTTCTCTTACGTTGAAATTCAGTTCAGTTCAGTTCAGCTCAGTTCAGTTCAGCTCCTAATTTCCTTCTCTAATAAAATATTCATTTCAGTTCAGTTCAGTTCAGCTCAGTTTAGTTCAGTTCAGTTCAGCTTACTTCAGTGAATGAGAACAGGCCCTAAGTGTATAAGCAAGTGCTGCATTTATTTAATAATGAATTAATTGAATATTATTGCTGATTATATTAATTGAATAATGTTAAGAGGTTACCTTCACTTTATTTTTATTGAATTGAAATTATTTTTAGTGAACTAAAATTATTTTTGTTGAACTTGATCATTTTTACTGAAGTGAATTTATTTTTACTGATTCTCTATTATATTTGTTCTTTAAAATTACTGTTTTCTTACTGAACTAAAATTGTTTTTACTGAAAATTATTTTTTAAAGGTGAACTGAATAGGGTCTAACTACTAACTAATGCATATACTCCGATCCGTGATAATTAACTCTTACTCTATTTGATAATAATTATCAAATAATTCATTGGTTTACTTTCATCTATTGTTTTAGTTTAAACTCATCAATAACTTATTGAACCATATGTATTTTTAACTCATTATATATATCTGTATATTTTTATGAAGGTAACTCATTATATTTTTAGACAATTAAATAT